ACATGTGTTGAGTATGGCAGGCTTGGGTGCACATGCATCATTCTAAGCTTGTTGCTGGCTGCCTTTTTGATTCAAGGGGTGATCCAAAACGGCAGGCAGCTGATTTTGCCCGCCCACCCACCCTGATTGGACCCGGCCTCCCGTGGAGTTACCTAGCCCTTTTTGGGGTTGCGCGTGTCCGCGACTGCCTTGAGGTGAGGAAGGGACCCTCGTTCGGATGTTCGAAAGGTGGGAACCTTTCTGTCCATGTCGTTACCTCGAGGTTTTTGACCAAAGCACTATCCCGGAGTGTCCGGGTTACCTTCAGAGATTCGAACTGGAAGCAGCAGTGAGCGCGATATCGGAAAAGAGACAGTGCGAGCTGTAAGCAAAGCAAAGCAAAGCTGTATCCTATCTAGTGCAAGCTGGAATGATATTATATAAAATACTATAGTATATAATCGATAATATATTCTGGCAGTGTAACTTTAAATCGATCGCAGGACGGTGACATGGAGCGCATGCAACCGCTGGTGCACGGGGCCCAAGATTCGGATAATTTTTTCTGCAAAGCAAGAGTCAGAGTGAGGGAAACCGAACTTCTTCTTGGCCCGAGCTCTTCAAAGCAGAAAGCAGCTCCAACGGACGAGCTACTGGCAACTGAGGGCCTGAGGGTTATGAGTCCTGCCTTACCATGTTTGGGGTCAGCAAGCAGGCTGAGAGCGAGGTGGCAGGTTCCTTCAACCTCACCTGGTCGTAGCTTGGAATTTCGAGCGTCCGAGCTTCGCGCCTGCTTTGCAATGGCTCGCCAGTCCGACTGTCGAGTTCACTCAATTCGGCACGCTGCCACGCTTCCAGAGAGCGATGTCGCCCTTCGATTGTTGGAGCGGGTCCAGCGCAACGCAGAAGCCATACTGCGGGCTCGTGGCTGGCGCGTCCTGGAGCTGGTGGAGCTGTGCTGCTGCAAGGTTGCACCTGAGCAGAAGCCTGGCAGCGTGGCAGGCTGGTGCATACCTGCTGGAAACGCAAAGACTGCGACTCGAATAGCTTTGCGACTCAGGGCACCAAAGGGTCAAGGGCACAGAATAATGCCATTTGAGGAGGTGTTCGGAACGATGCTCCATGAGCTTACTCACATCATTCACTTAAAGCACACCGCTGCATTTTATGAACTGATGGATGAGTTAAGCAAGCAATGGGAGCAGCTACAAGCTACTGGGCACATCTTGGACGAGTCAGGCTTTCCAACAGTGGGGGGACATAGAGTCGATCCGATGAAGCACAATCCCAGCATTGGACTGGCAACGAAACTCCAAGCAAAGGCGGCGGAGCAGCGTCTCAAGGTAAATCAGCTGATGGGATCAGGCAAGCTCGGTGGTCAGAGAGACTGGAAGCAGCTTCCCATGCGAGAGAAGGCAGCACGCGCCGCGGAGAGACGTGCGTCCGAAGCGAAGCTGGGTTTTGGGCCCGAAGAGCTGCCAGACGAGGGAGACGTCTCCAGTGCCCCAGAGAAAGCGCGCCTTGCAGCTGAGCCGGCACGGCCAGCAGTGCGGCTCGCCCCCAAGCGCAGGTGGTGCCAAAGAGTAGGCTGCTCCTGCCCAGCCCCGCACCCTGATCTGCCTGTGAAACCCGAACTTGAAGACAAACTCCTTCAAGAGGCCATCTTGGCCTCTCTCGCCGAGTCTCAGAGTTTACAGAGCCAGAGCCCGAGCGTAGGCTGCATTGTTCTCAGCGACGATGAAGGAGACGCTGAGTTCAACGTTCGCTCAGAGTCCGCGCTGGAAAACTGCGTCTTCAGCTGGGTTACTTGCGCATGCTGGCTTCCCTTCGTCTCTCGCTCTCCTTTCAAGGCTAGGACAAGTTCCCCGCGAGAGGGTCGCTCTGGGCACCTTTTGGCATCTGGCCTGCCAGCCTCCAAAGCGTCATGGGCCCAGTCCGAGGAAACTGCCGCCGAAGGCACAGCATGTGAAATCTAGCTCTTGCTGTTGAGGCATGGATGCCGACGAATTGCTGCCCATCTGCAAAGGGGCTTCAGCCCCAAAGTCGAGCTCTTCATGCAGCTCTGAGGCATCCCTATGCATCCCTGCTGCCCTTTTTGACTGGTGTGCCGGCCGCTGGGGCCTCGGGCCCTGGACGATGTGACACTGTGAGCGTAGACCTCACAAAGATCTTGCGAGGATGCAAGCCCTGTGCAATCCCCCGAGACGACTCGGTGATGCCCTCGTCCACCCGAATGCAGCCCAGTTGTGCCACACTTCTTTGCTGATTTTGGGCTGCGAAGGTTAACACATTGGCGCCCCATGAGCACAGGAAATTCCGGGAGAGGGGAGGCCCTCCAGGCAGGTTGCACTGTGAGTTGTTGTATTGTATCTGCTTTTTTGGCAGATTAGTCATTAAAACATGAGTCCAGAAGTGCCGCAGGTGGTTCTGGACGGGCTCGAGTTTGCCTTGCGCTTGCTGGGGGCAGATGCTCCACACGCTGCCCGACTTGCCAGAGTTGAGTTGGAGGCTTACCTACATGCAAGCTGTGCTTCTGAAACTCAGCACACCAGAAGCTCCGACAACGAATCTGATGCTGGTCTCGCCAGCAATGGCACAGCGGCGTAGCAAAGCCCTTCGTTTCTTGTGCTGCCAAGACCTCGGGTGGCCTTAGCGCGACGGCTCTGCCTGGAGCCCGAGATGCCTGCGGACTTGTCGCCGTTTCTTCTGGACAGAAGTCTGAGCTCTACCCTTGCTGCTCGTACTGTTCAGGATTAACAGAAGCTACCGTATCCATTTGAGCATGACGACATAACGGTTCTGGCCGGTCCGGAGGCAGCGGCGCATCGGCCACACAGCGCCTAGTGCAGGTGCACAGAGCTAGGGTTGCAGTTTGTGCCGAAGCTCAATGAGATTCCAGGGCCCATTTCTTACCCTGCAACACCACACAGGAGCTGGCAATTCCATCCTGTTCCCGGCATGCCGCCGATGTTTGTCAACTGGAGGCACCGACAAAGACTCTAAAACCCTTCACCGAGCCTTCGTAGGAGCAGAGAAGTGGATGAACTCTGCGACACAAACTGTAACACCAGGTGGCACCCTACAAACGAGTATAGTGCAGAACTCAACATTTATAACCATTACCATGGATTCCTAGAAACTCCTATATTACATGGGAGACCTTCGTTTCCTCAATGGTTTGTTTTGTTGTTCCCTCGTATGTTTGCGAGGGCGACTTGGAAGACCCGAGACGCTCGCCAGCCATGGACTTGAAGACGTCCATCAACAGCTTGGAGGAGTCATTGAAGGCGAGGGTTTAAGTTTAGGCTTCAGTGTTCAGGGTTAGCATGATCCGGTATGCCTTGCAGTTTGAGCTTCTGAGGCCAGGAACGAGAGTAGTGGCGCAGTGACTAAGTGTCGTTTCGAAGTTCTATATCATCGCCGAATCATACCGGAAAGCGGAACCCGTCCAGGCTGCTAGCCGCGATGTCAAGACGACCGCAGCATCAGCCTTCCCTTCGCTTTCGCAGGACCGGGAGGGATATGCGCATAGCTGCGCAAAGCGGCGAGATACCTCTCCTAGCTCTCCACTATTCTCTACGTCACCACGAGCCACGGGGCGCAGGACCTCCAGTGTGCAGCACACGAAGAAAGATCCAGAAGTAAATTGACCGCTACAGCTGACTCGACGAGAATAAGACTTACCGCTACTGCGATGTAGCTATGTAATAGCTATGTGATAGCTATGTAATACAGATTCTCAGAAGGGTGCTTCAACGCGATCCAGACACAGAAAGCCCAGTCCAGGGAAGCACATGGCATCCAGGTTGACATGTACTCACATGGGGACGTACAGACACAGGTCCGGGTTTACCGTCTATCCACATGTTAGATTGCTTGAAGTGCCCGGTCATGCTTTTCCAGAAAAGCCTACCCTTTTTAGTCTCGCTTTGTTTTCTGTCGTATAGGTTATTCAATCCGCCACGAAGACTTACTAATCGCTGCCTGGCGAGGAGCTGCCATGCTTGAAAAGCCAGGGATCAATTGTCACAACGCCAGCAGATTCAGAGAGGGGGCCTCATTTCCGGCTGTGATCTCCCCTCCACGCGTTTGAGTGCTTGGCACCCTGTTTGTGGTGCACCCGGTGGCCTGAGGTTCCATTTGTTCGGACCCGGGTTCACCGCTGATGCGTTTCGCGTGGCAGAAGAGATGGCAGGGCAGCCGTTGCCAGTCGGCCTCCCAGGATATGCGGACGCATGAAATAGTTTGCGGCATCTTGAATGCTCCTATCCAGACCTAGAGCAGGTCAAGTTCATGCAAGACTCAGGCCGATCTGCTCTCTCCCCCAGATTTGGCGGAAGTTGGCCCGCATGATGTACAGAATCCTGCCGACCTGGTACAGCTGAGCGACTCTCAGCAGTGCGCCGTATCTCCAGCACTGTGCTTCATGCCATCACACGTTTTCTTCGGATGTCAGGCTCGGGAGAGCCTGCTCATCGTGTCTCAAGCTGCCTCGGAGCTCAGCATCTCTGGTTCGCAGCACGCGTCGTCTGTGCACTTCTTCAACTCAGGTTGAATCAACAGCGCTTGCTCACAAGCGCGGGCCCCATCGTTACCCACCGCTTTCACCTAATCGCCATGCGCAGAAAGCTCTCATGCGTGACGCTGAGGCACGCACCATCTCTGTTTTTCCCTAGCGGCTCGCGTGCTGCTATCACTGCCGATGGATCCTTCATGGCGAGCCGAGCCTGTCGGAGCCTGTAGCTTCAGTAATATGCCCTCACATGAAGGTACAAGCGCCCGGACTTCAACTGGACGTTGGAAACGCAGAACTTTATTCTCGAACGTCGTGGCCTTTCAAGCGGAATGTCGCCCGAGACGGAACAAGCTGAGAACAGAGGGGGACGCAGTCATGGCCAGGTCTTCATCTGCTCATCCGCCAATTGGCGATGGCAGCCCTGGCTCTGGGACCAGCTGGCGGACGCCTCGATCAGGTTTAGTCATCCTGAGGCCATTTGTTAAGCCCTGTATAGGCCCTATATAGGGTAACGAGTGAGTAAAGGCCTAACTGGCCCATCGGCCGAAGAAAGGCACCAGAAAGGCTCTTCATGTCCCGAGGCGATGCGGGACCTCGGGCGGTTGCCGCTATGGCTGCGGCCGTTGCTTTCGATGCGGTCGCCCGACAATCGACGGAGAACGTCGCCTCTGTGCTCTCACAGGCAGTTGGCAGGGACTGACTGGGAACACTGAAATCCTGTCCGTGCACGGCTGGGCCTTCATTGGTGCTAGTCTGCTAGTGTTTCGGAGCCGCAGGCTTTGGGCCAGGGACTTTGCCTCGGGCCAGGGTCCTTTGTGAGCGAGTCCTCCGAGCAGGCTCTGAACGTGCCCGTCCCATCTCGGGACCCCAAATGCCGTAGCCCCTTCTCAGGCAATCTCCTGGCCACGAGCAGCAAAGGCCCGGAGCGAGATTCTGGAATACTTTGAGGCTCGCTGGGAGGAGCGGGCCGTGCAGGGCGAGCAGCCTCCTCCGCTTTTTTGCGTCACATCGGAGGCGGCATCGATCGCTGGGCAGCAACCTGTGTTCCAGGGAGTCGAGGCTCGAGGTCTCTGAGGTTCGGAGTTGCGTCGTCTCCTCAAACCTGCCTTGGCGGCCAGGTCGGACAGGCTGAATTGCAGTTGCTCAATGGCTGCTCTTTGTTGCTAGGCGGGAGCCGGGAGCTTGAAGTGGATCCTTGAGGCACGCTAAGCCTTGTCGGTCCACTGTGGACAGGTCTCGGTCCCGTTCGTTCCACTGCGGTGCAGCTCCTTTCGGGCGAGGACAACTCATGGCAGGGTTGTCGGAGGCTTCTTGAAGGATGCCCCTTATTGGATGGCACAGGATCCATCCCTCATGGCGCAACTGCCAGAATCTCATCTGATTGCAAGCTGTTGCGCGGAAGTCTGGCTCAATGGCTGAATGCTGCCCTTGCGAGGCCGCAGCTTGGGATGATGCGCGATGTGGGATTCCTGGCCCAGTGCTTCAGCTCAGAGCCTTCACGAAAGCCGTCACAGCGAAGGGAATCCTCTGATGCCTTCGATTCCCAAGGCTCCTCTCCCGAAGCGGCGCTTTGCCCTTGACAACGCAGGTGCCTCGGGCTTTGCCTCACAAGGCCTCATTTCCAAAGCACCTAGCCTCTATGCAGCCATCTCGCTTCGGAATCAGGCCCAAGAGTGGCAACCAGAATGTGCTCGGAAACTTGTCCGAGACTTAGTGGCTTAGTATGGCTTAGTGAGGCTTAGTGGCTTCGGTCTCCAGCCCTCTGCAGAGAGCGTTTTGAGGAGCTGGCGCAGTCAGGAGGGGAGCACGTCTCTGACGGCTCTGCCCTTACGTGCGAAGAGGACTTGTGGCTCGCTTTTCATGGTGCTGCGTTAGGTGCGGGGTCTGGCGCAGGGCCCGGCAACTGCCCTGTCCCCGGATGCAGAACACAATGCTACCAAATCACTAGTCTCATTCCATGTTGAAGTGTCATCACGACAGTCCTTCCCTCTGCAACGCTTGCATCTGATCTCCAAGCAGCCGTGACTGCAGAAGGACTGCTCAGAGGCCTTGAAATCAGAATAGGGTTTTGGGCCTTGGGGATTCACGCTGCGGTAGAACGAAAGTTTGACCTATTCCTTGTT